TGCCTTAGCCTTCACTGGGATTACAGGATTGCACCACCATTCCCAGCTGTGGGCTTTATTTTGTAAAAAATAAAAGCACATTGATAAATTCTAAAATTTGTTCCTATAACTATACATTTCTTATAACAGGTTAATTCTTTAGTCATGAATTGTTCTATCACTAGAATTTCTAGGAAACCAACCCTTTTGGTTAGAAAGGGCTTATTATATCCTAAAATAGCTTTCTTATTTTAAAAATGAGTTGAACAGATACAAATTTCATTGTGAAAAAATCTTTTGACTCCAAGACAGTATTGTATATCATTTGGTTTAATAAAATTGGACTAGAAATATTAATCCTAATACATCATATTTTGAAACAGTGTTGCCAGGATTATCATAGAACAAAGAATAAGGAAATTTCCCAGAAAAGAAAAGGGCCCTTGAGGATTGAATCTTCTGGGTAGGAGGAAAGTATAATTCCCCAGCTCCTCAAGACCTCAGCCATTTCTACAAAGGCCTTGAAAGCAGGGGGGGGGGCACCACTCCCTTCAAGATTGCTGGGAGAATCAACAAATGGGCCAAGGACCTAAACAGACACTTCACAGAGGAGGACATACAATCAATCAACAAGTACATGAAAAAATGCTCACCATCTCTAGCAGTTAGAGAAATGCAAATCAAAACCACCCTAAGATACCATCTCATTCCAGTAAGATTGGCAGCCATTATGAAGTCAAACAACAATAAGTGTTGGCGAGGATGTGGGGAAAAGGGTGCACTTGTACACTGCTGGTGGGACTACAAATTGGTGAGGCCAATTTGGAAAGCAGTATGGAGATTCGTGGGAAAGCTGGGAATGGATCCACCATTTGACCCAGCTATCGCCCTTCTCAGACTATTCCCTGAGGATCTTAAAAGAGCGTACTATAGGGATACTGCCACTTCAATGATCATAGCGGCACAATTCACAATAGCTAGGCTGTGGAACCAACCTAGATGCCCTTCAATAGATGAATGGATAAAAAAAGTGGCATTTATACACAATGGAGTATTATGCAGCACTAAAAAAGACAAAATCATAGAATTTGCAGGGAAATGGATGGCATTAGAACAGATTATGCCAAGCGAAGCTAGCCAATCCTTAAAAAACAAATGCCAAATGTCTTCTTTGATATAAAGAGAGCAACTAAGAACAGAACAGGGAGGAAGAGCATGAGGAAAAGATTAACATTAAGCAAAGACGAGTGGGGGGAGAGAAAGGGTGAGAGAAGGGAAAGCATATGGAAGTGGTAGGAGACCCTCAATGTTACACAAAATTACATATAAGAGGTTGTGAGGGGAAAGGGGGAGGGAAACAAGGGAGAGAATTGAACAACAGCAGAGGAGGTAGAGAGGGAAGATGGGAGGGGAGGGGAGGGGGGATAGTAGGGGATAGGAAAGGTAGCAGAATACAACAGTCACTAATATGCCATTATGTAAAAATGTGAGTGTGTAACCGATGTGATTCTGCAATTTGTATTTGGGGTAAAAATGGGAGTTCATAAACCAACTGAGTCAAATGTATGAAAGATGATGTATCATGACCTTTGTAATGTTTTGAACAACCAATAAAAAAAAAGAAAGAACACAAATAACAGCAAATAAATAAATAAATAAATAAAAATAAAGGTATTCTGTCCATCTAAAAATAAATACATAAATAAAAATAAATACATAAATAAAATAAAGGTATTGTGTCCAACTACAACTAAAAAATAGATATTAAAAAATATGCTTCAGGGAAAAAAAAGATTGCTGGGAGAAATGGCAGCACAAGCTGCACATTAACTTGATCATCTGTGAAGATCTGTCATTTAATTTTAATTGCAAGCTTACTGACATAGCCTTTGAGAAATCACTTATGTCTTTAGTGAACAAGTTATATGTGTGTAATCAGGAGATACCAAATACGCTAGGGTTCTGGAAGATAACTGAGGGAGCTCAGAATTAAAAGAGAGAACTGTAGTGAAAATATCAATGAATATTTGTTTAGAAGACACAGTCTTTTAATGAGGTACACTGTTAGAAAAGACATTTTAAGAAAGATTAAATCAACTTTCTACTTCCAAGTGTTACTAACACTTAATATTTTCTTCATTGTGACCAAGCATAAATTTTAAAATCAAAGCAAATAAAATTAAAAGCTATTTTATAACATGGATCATTGGTTAGACACCAATAAACACCAATAACCAGTTTTCAACCTAACAGTTTTATTCAGTATTTCATTGTTCTTTTCATACTCATCATGACCCATTACTACTGTTGGCTTATCCTTGAAAGAAAGAGACCATTCACAAAACAATGTTTTATTTATGTGATTTATAACATTGTACTTTGTACTTTTTGCTAAATCACCTTATCTAGGCATTTGGTCTCTCTATAATGATCATTTGTTCTTCCTTGTTCCTGAACTGATTGAATTCTTTGAATTCTTTCTTTAGTTGTTCTTCAGGTTAGCTTGGGTTTTAGGTTTTCAGCAATCTGCTCTACTGTTCTTGTATTTCATTAATTTTTATTCAATTGAAAACCTTCTGATTGTGTCACGAGAGGGGGTCCTAACAGGCCCCTTCCAAAGAGGAAAAGGGGACCTCAACTTGGTCCATGTAGATTCTTAATATTTTCCACTGACAGGTTTATTTAGTGAAATAAAGCAATAGAGTAAGGAAGAAAGGGTGTGGGTGTTCCAAAGTGAGATGCACTTTGGGGATCTAGGGTTCTTCTTTTAAAGGAAACTTTGTAAGGAGTCGGCATAAGATGAAATGGAAGAATGACACCAGCCTAGTGAACTCAGTTCTTTGATCATAGATCACAAGAAATTTATGGTGGTCTGGTCCTCTCCAGGATCTTCAGGTTGACATTGTCTCCTCTATCTGGCTAATAAATAACATTTGGAATGTGCCTATTTTATAGTTTCTTAAAATATATCTCCCTTTGTTTTATCTAATCTTAACACATGTTGTATAGGCTTTACAGGCATATAAGCTTAAATCAAAATAAGGCAATTTGCATAGATGAGTGAATTCATATTAACACTAAGATTTGTAGATTTCTTAGGAATTTGAGAAATTTGTAGATTTCTTAGGAATTTGAGTAGCTTAGAGGAAAAATAGGTCTGGGGAATAACTCTAAGATCATGTTGCTTTTAGCTTTGTAGCTATGGTCTCTTTTTCCTTCTTTTGTGTATGTGTGTGTGTGTTTCATCCTACCTAAATTGGATATATTTATTTATATTCAATAATTATTTTATTAATTTACACCAGTGATATTCATTATGTCAGCAAAAAGTTATAGTTCATTTGCATTAATTCATATAAAATGTTTTTATAAACACAATTATATTTTGAAGCACAAAAGTCACTAATTCATATTTCAAAGCTCCAAGTGCTTTAATTATGGAAAAATTATGCTTTTTCATTTCTTTTAAAATTTCCATTCCCAGGCATTCTGAACTAGAATTTAGCTTGGGACTAACTCCCTATAGTAATCATTTTATAGTTATCCCCCCCCCACTCCCAGTTAATCTGACACAGTTAAACTTACCCTCATACTTTATAACTACAAGTCAGAAATGTTCAAGAAAAGATCCCCCTGGTCCCACCCCCCAAAAAAAGCTTATTGCTTTTTAGATGAAGAAAGGAAAATTCATGTATCCTAGATTGATTGATTGATTGATTTTCCTTTTTTGCAGTTATGGGACTAGAACCCGGGGGCACTCTACCAGTGAACAATTGCCCCAACCTTTTTAATTTTTTTTTTTTCTTTGAGACAGGGTCTTGTCTTGCTAAATTGCCAAGACTAGTTTGGGAACTTGAAATCCTCTTGCCCCTCTTCCTGAGTAGCTGGGATTAACAGCGTGAGCCATTGCCCCCAGCCCCTAGATATTTATTGTCTGTATTTATTATAGCTTTCACCAGAGGGAAGTATAATAATGCATAAAGCTTACAGCATATGCTGTAACTATATCTATTTCCACTACCAACAAATGAGACTATTAAATTTATAATCACCCAGTAATCATAAAAGACTTGGGTTTTTTTTGTTGTTGTTATTGCTGCTGTTGTTTTTGTGGTGCTGGGGACTGAACCCAGGGCTTTGTGCATATGAGGCCCCTTGGGTTTCTTTTAACAAATTCAGGGGAAAATAAAGATTGGATGAAGTAGATTTTATAGATAAGAGCAACTGGGATACGACTAAGATAAATTAGAACCTTAATTTTATTGGGGTTTTAAAAAATTGTGATTTTGAAGTCATATTTTATTATTGGGTGTTATCCATACAGGTGTTATAAATGTAGCCAAAAGGAAATTAGGAACTTTTTATTTCTGGAAATATAATGAGAAATTTAGACTAAAGGACACTTATGGTGACAATTATCATTAAGTAGTGAATTCAGTTTTGGCTCTTTCCCTATTTTAACTTTTGATTATTAACTAATATTTACATTAGTTGTATGTTTAAGGGTAATGAACTAAATTTTAGTTATAGTTAAGAAAACTATTAATATAGTGTTAAACAATAGATGTCTGTGTGTCATGAAATACAGTATTTAATATCTCATTTTAAATTGTATATCTATTTGTCATTTAAAATATTCAAATTTTTAACAAGGAAATCAGAAATTAGTAAAATTTATATAATTATATAATATTAACATGATATATAATTTAAAATTCTAAAACAGTTGGTTTTTCTGATCCATGTTTTCAAATTCTGACTCATCTGTGGCCCTCATCAAGGTCTGTTACCTGAATTTTCTAGTTGATCAGCCATAATTGTGAATATTGAAATATGTGAGTAAATGTAACATTTGCATACTATTTTAGATCAGTAAGTGGTGTCAATAAACACAAAGTTATTCTAATGAACTTTATAGTGAATTTTAACTACTTTAAGTATAAGTAAAACTTAAATGACTCTTTTCTTTCTGTATTTTTTTTCTAAATGCTACCTCCCATGTTACTCTCTTATTCTGACAGGCTCTAATCCAGTGTGAGCAGTTGAAGAATGAACTGGAAAGGCAGACAGAAAGGCTTGAAAAAGAACTTGCATCTCAGCAGGAGAAAAGGGCCTTTGAGAAAGAGGTGATGAAAAAAGAAATAACGAAAGAAAGGGAGGACATGGAATCAAAGGTACTTGAGTTGTTATGCCCACTGCTGAAAAAATGTTAGTGTTGATGTGCCTTTAGGCTGCCATTCTTGAATGGGCTTTAAATATTAAAAACCTTTATAAGTAAATTTCTTATATTTTAAGAGCTCATTAAAATGTTTTATTTTTTCTTCATATTTCTCAATGAAATTGATCTCTGACCTTTTCAAATAAAATAATCAATTTACTTCCATATTCTGCCATTCTTGTCCCTCATGTTTTTTAAAGGAGATCAAGTGCTCCAAAAATACCAGCTTTTATTTCAACCTTGTCTAAATTAAGGAGAAATGACTCCCCTTTTTATCCCCTATACCAAATTAAACATAAGATAAAATTTGTAAGAAACAATGTAATCAATAAAAAGTGATTATACAAATTGTATGAAATCAGTTCTGAAAAACTACATGACCAATAATGACCATAACCAGATAAATAACTAACTGGAAGGGAGAAATTGTAGGCAAAAGGAACAAATAACATGAAATGTGCAGTATTCGAAAAACAGTAACAAATTGGAATGCAGAGTTGAGTGGAACCTAATTTTAAAGTTGCTATAGTAATAAAATTGAGCAAGAAGTAACCAAAACAACTGTGTTACATTTTTTTTAAGTAGACTCAAAGCTTGTGCCCTAAATACTGTAATACTCCAGTGTGTAATAATTAACTCATATAGCAAATACCTACTATGTATCTGCTGTGTACAAGGCAATGTACAGTCCTATGTAAAACAAGAGAAAAGTCACAACTTCTGCCCAACCAGTTTTAAGTCTTCTGGATAGATTGAAGCATTTACTATAACTCCATTCTCTTCTTACCCTTTTTTGAAAGAAAACAAAAATGTGTCTGTTAAAACCTTACTGTAGGGCTGGGGTTATGGCTCAGTAGTAGAGCACTTGCCTAGCACGTGTGAGCCACTAAGTTTGATTCTCAGCACCATAATTAAATAAATAAATAAAGTAAAGGTCCATCAGCAACTAAAAAATGTATTAAAAAAAAAAAAACAAGAAAAAGAAAACTCTTACTGTAGGTCAGTCTGACTACCTCTCTACCTTGGATTGGTCATCTCAGCTGATGAAAATCCTACAATAGATGGAAACTTTGCACACTTGGGGGTCTATTAGTCCTCCTATGCATTCCTTTCTTTCCCATTCTTTCAGCAATCAACAGATATTAATTATAGAAAGCCTGGGGATGTGGTAGTTTCAGGACCAGTGAAATTGCCTCATTAAGTTTTTAGACTTTTTTTAAACATTAAACAAATATTTTCATAAATTACTTTCTAATCATGATTCTTATAAAGCATTAATGGCTCAATATAGAATACTGTGGGAATGTGCAGCAGGAGATTCTGACCTAGTCTAGGGCAGTCATGAGAATTTTCACAAGGAAAAGATTTTTAAATGATACTGGAAAGGTTAAGAAGGAATGGTCAGGTGAAGAGTTGATGGGAAGAGTTTCAGGTCCAGGAAAATAATAAACCAAATACTCTGAAGCTAAAAAAAACACTGGACTTTCTAGGAATTTAAGAAATGCCCAGATGACAGGAACCTAAGGAATGAGGGACAGAATCATGGAGTTTGGAGAAGTGTTCAGAGGCCAAATCTTGAATGACCTTAAATTCCTTGTGAGAGATTTTAAATTTTATCCAAAAAGTAATGAAAAACCATTTAATAGCTTTAAATTGGAAAGTGTTCTGATGTCATTTATATTTGAAAAAAAAAATCATTTTGTCAGTAGATTAGAAAGAGAACCAGAATAGATGTAAAGATCAGGTTATAGTAGTCCAGGTGGAAAATGATAACTTGTACTCATTTTTCCATGATCATTCTATATCACTTTTGTTATCCTCAAATTCTCTGCCATACGACTTTCTCCTTCATTCTCAGCAGAGAGCTTTAGTAAAGAATAATAAAGTAAATAATAAATAAAATTGAAACCATCAGGTAATATCCATCCCAAGTATTTATTTCCTCACCTCTGCCATTAAACAAATTTTCACCTATAGCCCAAACATGGCAGGACAGACAAGGCTTAATCCTATCATCATCCATTAACCTAGATCACAGCCCCTTTCCCACCTGAAAGAGTTTATTCCATTTGTTATCCCCTATCTTCTGAGTCTTAAAACTTTTCTTTCTTTCTTAACATTAGGAAAATACTCCCAAATTCTCTCACCTGTTGAAAAATATCTTTATTCTAATTGATCTTTACTACTCTAAAAGATCTAAAAATCTCATTGCCCAAAATATACCCAACCAATTAATTTTTTTTTTTTTTCCGAGGGGGAGAAAGGGTGGTTGGTTGGTTGGTTGGTTTGGGTACTGGGAATTGAACCCAGGAATGCTTCTCATTTAGCTACATCCCTATCCCTTTATATTTTTTGAGAAAGTTCACAGGGCTCAGTTCATAGGGCCTCACTAAGTTACTGATGCTGGCCTCAAACTTGCAATCCTCATGCCTCAGTCTCCTGAGTTCCTGGGATTATAGGTGTGCACCACCACCCACCAGGGTTAGTAATTTTTTTTTAAGTTGCCTAGTTTATTCCAATATGCAGCCAAGAGTGAAGGCTACCTTAGTAATTTTATATCTCTCCTCACTCATTCCCTTAATTGTTAAGTTCCTTGAAAGATTATCCAAACACATCTTTATTTTCTTACTTTCCATTTACTCTTCAGTGCACTCCAAATCAGCTTTTGTACCCATAGTCCTTGAGAATAATGTTGCTAAGCTTATTAACCACCTGCCTCCCTGTACTATATTTACTGAATTTTTAGTTCATATTAAAAGATATTTGTTCCTGGATTTCTTTGAACTCATGTTTTATTTGGGAGAATGATTATCTTCACTTTGAGATAGTGAAGGAGACACATTCAGAGAGCTGCTTAATAGAAAGTTCTAGAGTTTAGTAGAGAGTTATCAATTGAGTTGTCTTCATTACTACTGTAGCTTTAATTCCATGAACAGTATAGATGTCTAAATCTTTCATTTTCTACCTAGCTCCCAAATCAGGCTTACTTTCCATCTTCCTTGCCCCAGTGGAACTGCTATTCCTATAGTTGTGCGCAACAGAAATCTTGTTTTCATCCTTGTCTCTGCTGCCTACCTCAACCTTTATACCTCATCACTAAGTTTTAGAGATTCAGGTCCCTAAGTATTTTAAATTGCCATGTCACCCTTGGATTGTTCCTCCAGTATCTATGCCTTCAGTGTCACCTCCTTCCCATCTGTTCTCTTTATCACAGCTAGAATGATCTTTCTGAAATGAATTTCTCAATGTGCCAGTCTTTTGCTTTAAAATTCTTTATGTCTCCCTATAACCCTGAATAAAATTTAGGCTCCCTTAGCATAACATAAAAACTGTAATTCTTTCTCTCCAGTCTCATCTCCCTTCATTTTTCTTCCTTGCATCCCCACCATCCTGACCTCCTTGCACTTTCCCAATGAAAAAACAAGCAGTCATAATGTTTGTTTGTTCATTTCAGGATTTTGCATGTATTTTTGTCCCTTGCCTTCAGGAATCTTCCTTTACCTTCTTTGATCCTTCAGAGTTCTTGATACTACCTACTTTCAGGGCCACCCAAAGCTTTATTGCCATCTTCTGCATGGGTTCCCATAACTCAATTTATTGCAAATTCTTCTTGAATTTTTTGCCTTCCTTAATTTATTGAGCCACTTTCATGTATGATACTCATTGTTTGATTTATTCTTGTCACATTAAAATGTGCTTAAAATATATATATATTTATTGAATGAATAAATAAATGAGTGTCATGTAACGGTGGGGGTTCCCATGCAATTGGAAAGACAGGTCTAAAATGCTAGAGTCATCACAAGGCATGGAGGGAGGTTAAGTTATGAATCAACTGTTGTGTATGAGTGAGAATGGTATCAATAGCAAAGATCAGCTATTGTTCATACCTAGGCAATTTTTTTTGGAGGATTATTTAGTGGAAACCATTTGCCTTCCTAGGTACTTCTACTATACAAAAAGTATGTTTATTTGATAATAATTTCTGATAAGAAAGGAAGAAGGAAGGCTGAAATGGGTCTGGCAATATGCCATGTGTGTTCATATGTAAGATAACTTTATACTAAAACTAACAATTATTTCATGAATAAAAATGGTAACAGAAATGCAGTGTATTTTGGAACCTGAGCCATTTAAGTTTATTTTCCCCAAGAAAACTTTGGCCAGCATTTGATATCAAGATCCTATCCTAAATAAGGTTGTATGACTAAAGAGCCAACATTGATCCTAGCACTGAGTTAAATGCTTTTAGCAGGGAAAGTAGCTTTGGAGAAAAAAGGATTTAGTCAACCCTAATTTGAGCTTTCTCTGATCTTGGCAATTTTTAAACCTCTCTACATTTCAGGAATAAAGAAAAAGGTTGATGGGCTGAGGATGTGGCTCAAGTGGTAGCGCACTTGCCTGGCATGCGTGAGGCACTGGGTTTGATCCTCAGCACCACAAAATAATAAATAAGTGAAATAAAGGTATTGTATTCAACTACAACTAAAAAATAAATATAAAAAAAGAAAAAGGTTGATAATGCTTATCTCAAGGCTTGATGGAATTAAATGAGATGAGATTTTGAAAATATCATAATGTGTTTTATGGTAGGAATTGAATAAAGTTTAGTTTGTGGCTATTATACTTAATTTAGAGAAAGAAGTAGATTTATTGAATGGCTTTCTTCTTTCTTGGACCTTCATGTTAGTAAAAGTAGATAGACTTGAATTTAAGGCCTATCTTTACCAGCCAGGCAGGGAGGTGCATACTGGTAATCCCAGTGACTCAGGAGGCTGAGATAGGAGAATCCCAGGTTCAGGGTGAGCATTAGCAATTTAATGAGGCAACTTAGCAATACCCTGTCCCAAAATAAAAAATAAAAAGGGCTGGGATATAGATCTGAGTAAAGCACTCTTGGGTTCAATCTCCAGTACAAAAAAAGAAAAAGAAAAATTTTAATTAAAAAACAAATGAAGTCCAGGTTTTTGTTTTTTTCTTGAATGAGCTTTGGTAAGTTACTTAGTTTTTTTGTTTTGTTTTAAATCTCATTTCAGCTAAACTGAAAATCTAATAATACTTATTCTCCAAAAATAAAAAAAGTGAGAAAATAATGATTTCTTCTCTAAAGGAATTTAAAGGAAAGAGAATATGTATGACACTGCTTAGCAGACTAACATAATATAGTAGGACAACTAAACATAACATTGTAAGTGCTGAGTAATTAAAGTTAGTGCCATAGCAGCCCTCCCTGCTTTCCTAAAAGTACAAATACTTGAGATCTACAAGGACTTGTAGAGGCTTTCTTTCTTTCTTTCTTTCTTTCTTTTTTTTTTTTCTTTTCACTCTCTTTTAAAATTCCATTGTGTTGGAAACTCTAACAGGACAGGTGCCTTCTATATAGACAGGTTTAAATCATTCTCCCATGAACATTGCTTTCTGTGAGTGTCCTTGGTTGGACTGACTCTCAGATTTGTTTGTTCATTCAGTCATTCATCATGTATTTACTTGAGCAAACCCCATGGTCCACACAGTTTCTCAATTGCTTCCCTCGATAATATTCCATTGCTAGAATCTTTAATTCTTGTATCTCAGGTATGGGAATTTCTATTTTGTAACTTATTCAATACACGAGGGACTGCTTTGCAAAAATTTTTTGTTAATCTCTCCCAAATTGGGGTGTCCTTGTCTCTTCCTTGCCCCTGTCAAAGTTTAAAGGACTTACCTGATGTCAATGCCTTGGACATCCAGCAGTGTTGCAGCTGTGTCTGTGTTACTTCTGGCTCTGCAACAGATGTGGGTGGAGAAGCTCCTGCAGTGTAATGCTGACTTCCAGATGGTGGGCATGGGGAAAAAGAAGGTGTGACAACAGGAGGGGAAACCTCAGGAAGTGGGTGACAGGAGGCAGAAGACAGTGAGCAGAAGAAAGAAGTGATGGGTGGCAGAGAGAGATAAGTCCTAAGGAAGGGGAAATTTGTTAGCATGCTTTGTAATAGAAACTGACTCAGAATTTACAGTTGGCAAAAATAAATGTCCACATATTTGCTTCAAAACTATACAATGTTAATGTTTACCATCAGATTTATCTCCACATAAATATATAATATGTGGTTTTTAAATAGTGGGTCATTGAAATTTGTTGCTATTACATGATTCCAAAAAACATGTCATTACACATTTCATGATATAAATAGTCATGAACTTGAATTCTTAAATTAAGGAAATTAAATTGATACATTTGTTCTGTTTATCTGCTTTTGACTTTTAATTTTAGGTTCAGATTGTAACATGCTCAAGGATACTTCATAGATTGTTATTAGTGAAGCCAATTTTATGTGTAAATTTGATTTGTAGACTATCTTTTGATAAGAACATGTAAACAACCAGAAGTCAAATATATAATGCTCTAGAATCTTCAGAAAAGTTAATTAATTCATCTACATAAATTGGAAAATAACTACCAGGGTTCATTATTTTCCTAAGGGTCAACTTTAGCTATTTAAATAATGCAAAGGCAGATACCTATCTTAGTTTTATTGCAGTAATGCTCTTTATCAAAACTCTGGTTCAGTGTTGATTTTCTTAAAAACATTTTTTTTTAATTGTAGATGGACAGAATACCTTTATTTATTTATTTTTATGTGCTATTAAGGATATAACCCAGTGCCTTACACATGCTAGGCAAGTACTCTTCCACTGAGCTACAACTCTAGCCCCTCAATGTTGAATTTTAATCATAGAATTTTACTTATTGATTTCATTTATAGAACTGAATTCACACATATGTCAGGGTACAATGTTAAGTTTCAAGTATCATTATTTCCAGCTCATTACCAGTTTTTGTTTTAACGTATAAAAACTCATAAGTACCCCATCTATTTTGCTGGAGTTAAGGTAGCATTTCTTCATTTTAAAACTACTAATTCATCAAAGAACTAGAGAAGTTTGACTCACTGGAGCAGAACAAAACATAATTATATACAAAAATCTATAATTAAGTCTAAAATCTAGAAAGTATTTTTAATCCTGAGAATAAAATCTAAGACCAATATTCAGATAGTCCCTTGGAAAAGATATTTATTCTCATTAATTTCTTATCCATTCATCAAATATGGTTCCTTTTAATGAATGTGCCCTTGAGGAACTTCTAGTCTAATGAGGAAACAAGGAGTCAACTTAAAACAGTATATAAATACTGTGATGAAGGTGCATATACTAAGGTTGTTGTAGGAGTACATACCAGAGTGACATTCAAAATATTACACAACAAGTGTAGCAAGGGAAGTAGTCTGCGAATGGATGCAAGTCAAAAAATAAGAGGCATGATCATCTCAGTGCACATTGACTGGACAGCAACCCTAAGCATGTGTAGGATTGCTTATTTTGTGCTGAGAACTGGAGGTCAAGGAAGACTTCCGGAATGCAAGGAGATAATGGATGAACTGAATCCTTTGGGAAGGTTAGGGGAGTGCTAGAAAATAGAAGGGCCGGTGGAGTTTTACCAACAAAAGAAACTGCAAAAAGCCTCCTCTTTGTTGGTTTTGGGAGAGGAAAGTGGAAGTCATAGTTCTCTCTAAAGTTATATTCCTCTTTAACTCTCCTTTTATGCCCTCCACGTGGGAGAAGAACCTAAGAATTGCTTGATTCCACCATACCACCTCTGAATCTGTTTATGGAAATCTGTTCCATAACTTACTGGTGTGTCTGATATCTGTCATCTTGGGATTTTAACCAAAAAAAAATTTTATCATCTTTCACATCTTACAAAGTAAGAGGTAAGGGGAAATGAATAGAAAGGAAATGTATATTTAAACTCCAGGATACTTTGAAGAAGTAGAGAAGTGGATGTACCCAATCTACAGAGAAATAACTTAAACAGAACTCTGAGGCTATGCCAAGACTCTATTAATAAAATATTATTTATCAAATTATTTTATTATTAGAATTTTTGTTTCTAGGCTGAGGATGTGGCTCAAGCAGTAGCGCGCTCGCGTGGCATGCGTGCTGCCCGGATTCAATCCTCAGCACCACATACAAAGATGTTGTGTCCGCCGAAAACTAAAAAAAAAAAAATATTAAAATTTTCTCTCTCTCTCTCTCTCTCTCTCTCTCTCTGTCTGTCTTCTCTCTCTCCTCTCTCTTTAAAAAAAAAATTTTTTTGTTTCTTCTTTTAGATGTTGATCCTGTCTCAGAATATTGCCCAACTTGAGGCCCAGGTGGAAAAAATTACAAGAGAGAAGATTTCAGCTATTAATCAACTAGAAGAAATTCAAACCCAGTTTGCTTCTCAGGAAATGGATGCCACCAAGGTACAAAAAGATATTTTAGTTTTTACAGAAGTAAATATTTTCTTTGAAATATTTTTTATTAATGTGCAAATCTCTTTTTGTTATTAGAAAGAAGTCTTGAAATTTTTTTATTTTGAGAATATTAAAAGTCTACTTAATGGTCATTTGGCAAACATTTATTTACTATATTCAGCCCTTTTTCTGGTACTGCAAATTCCAAGATGAATTAGATCTAACTAATGTCCTCAAAAATCTTAAGAGTTAAGACTTATAAATAAGAGTTATATTACTTTAATTATTAAATATTTGATAAAACTTGTATTAATTAGTGTTTTTGTTTGTTTTTTGTCTAGAGAGCATAAGGTTTGTTTTCACAATAATTTTCAAAGATATCCATTTACAATTTGAAAAGTATACTTAACATAAAAATTTCTCCTATTCTCTGGCTTCCAAAATGAAGATTCTGAATCACAAGTTCTTATTTATTGATATTTAAGTTTATACATTCAGATTTCACAGCATATGTGTTATGGGCATCATTAACTTCTGAACCCAGAATTAAGTTGTTTTGGGGTCTCAACTGGATAAGGTTAGCAAGATCCCTGTTTTAAGAACTGATAGAAGTTCATCAAAATTTCAAGTCAGTTTCTTTCAAACTAAGAAACTAAATATGGGCATGCATAATATAATAAATCAACTTATTTTTCACCACAAAATACACAGATAACTTGTTTAAAATGAATAACCTTTCTATATTTTCCTTAATTGTTAACACACTGTTATGCCATTGTTGTTTTATAATTCAGTATTTAGAATTTATTTTAATTTATATATTTAAAAAGAGCCATTTCCCCTTTTTTTCTTTAATTTCTGTAATTCTCCATTTGCTTTCTAGAATTCAAACTAGCTTATGTAGAAATTTAAGGAGCTTATATTTGCCAGTGTACTTCCATTTGTTTGTATGGAGATAGGAGTGAAGGTAAAGCAATTGATGAGAGGCATAGAAATAATTAAAATTCTTAATTGTAAAAATAATGAAAACATTTAATTTGTAAATTAGATTTATGGGTGAAATCTATGGTGAATATTTTTAGTTTCTTATAGGGAAAGAACTTTCTGTTGAAAGTGGTAATGTAAAGAATGAGTTTTGGGCTCTAAAGCTATCCAAAAGAACATAAACCTAAGAAGTGATTAGAATAAATAGGCTTGAGATTGCTTTCAACCCTGAGATAATATAACTCTGGTTCAGTTTAATTTGTTGACTTATTTTAGATGAAATTTAAGTGTTATGGATAAACATAGCAAATGTTAATCTGAAAGTATTAAGGAAACTTTAAAAGAAACATTAAGGAATAAAATAATGGGACCTTATGCTTAAACATTTATTATATATTAAGCTTATGCCAAGGGTGGATTTTAAACATCATGGTTGTATAATTATTATTTTTTTATATTATCAGTTCAAGATTTTTCCCACTTCATTCATAGACATAAACCAAATTGATTACAATAGTAAAGAATTGAAATAGAAAATAAATTAACACCCTGTATTTTTTTGTCATTCACTCTTAATTTTTAATTTTATTTAGTTTTATGATTAAAAGCTTTTTATAAATTTATAATTTTTTGAAGAAGCAGCTCTCACATATTGATGGCAACTGAATCTCTAGTAAAATTTTTTATTTGTAATTTCCTTTCTATTTTATCTTTCTGAGTGCCACTGAGGAAAAGCTTATTGACTTTTTTTTGTCTTATCTGTATAAATTTGAACTTATATTAGTTTAAATTTGAATATAGGATACCCATATATTTTATACTTTAGTATATTCTAATAACTCTATAATGATGAAACTAATTTCTAAAGTTTTCAAAATCATTATTTTTGGAGAAATACCAAATAGAAGTTTCAGGCAAGTATTACCATTTTATATATATATATACACACACACACACACACATATATATATATGTGTGTATGTATATACACACACACGTACACACACACATATATGTATTCATATATAATTATATATGTTATAATATATAAAAACCTCTATATATTAGACAGACTTGTGATTTAATCACTTTCTCTACAGATTCTCAATTATCTCAAAATGCCTATAATTTATTTATATTTATCTACTAGCTTCATTTTCTATTTTTCTATGTCTGTAGAGACCCTGAATTGGGGGAAAAAATAACAATTTTATAAAAAATGATATATAACACTTTTAAGATACTGTGTATGCTTATTGTTTATCCATGTATTAAAGTTATTGCATTTAAATGTACATTTTTTTTCTTTTATGTATGTTTTGACAGAAAATATTTCCTGAGTAGTATTGTGCAATTATTATAGTAAGATTGATATTATCTAAAAAGTTAAATACTGAGTATTTTACACCTAAATATCAATAATAGACTATAGTCTATCAGTAGAGAGAAAAAAAAACCTTTATAAGTTTCCTTAAATAAAAGCTTGACAAAATTTTTATAATATAAAGGAATATTTAACCAGAAAATTTTTAGTAAACAATATAGCTAAATGTTTTAATTACTTATTTTACCTAACTAAAAGTTATATGATTGTGCATTTGAATTTATAATATTCTATTAAAACTGCTATTTTACCTAAAATAATCTTGAGCACATTATTTAAATTTATTATTTATGCACTTGTATTTCTTTAATTTAAAACTGTTAAACCGAATATACCTGAATTGTCTATAAATAATAGCAGGCAATAATGAATATTCTAATAAGAAATATTATAAAGTTAAGATATGGTCTTTTTGTTATGCTGAATTATATGAAACTTAGCAGGCTGTACTGAATAGTCTACTAAAAATGTCAGTTTTAGAAAAGACCTATTGCATTTTATGTCTATGCCCTCTAGGGGGCAGCAAAAGATCTAATTGCAGGCATTGCCTGGAAAATTCCAACAGCTATTGATTTAGGTTTTATAATCTAACAGGTGTGTGGAGAAATGCGTTTTCAGTTGAATAAAACCAAAATGGAAAAAGATGAGGCAGAAAAGGAGCACAGAGAGTACAGAGCAAAAACTAAAAGGGATCTTGAAATTAAAGATCAGGTAAGAGATGACACAAGAATAAGCAGAAATTAAAGTTATAACTAACATTCTTTCTGAAGTTGATGGTGTTATCCCTAAATTATTTATTTCTGTTACATTGTTTCTAACTAAAGCAGTGATCCAGTTTATACTATTAAAAGAAGTTTATTTATAGTTGCCTAAAATTATCACCTTTCACATGAAATGGTGAGAATACAACTGCATGCATATAAAATTCCAATATGACAGGTCATAAATATACATTTGGATATGTGTATCTATTACTTACAAAAGTTTAAGAAATGTTCTAATGCAGAGTTTGAACCTAAAATATACGTAAAGTTCTTGAAAGATGCCAACTTGCATCCAATTTTAAATGAAAAAGTTTAAAATTTGTAAGATGAGATGAGTTGATATGTAAATATGTCAATCAAATTGATTGTTGGCAGAGAAAATCCAGTTTTAACTAAGATAACCATGAATACGTTTGCTCAGGAAGCCTAAATACTGTGAAATTAGAAATGTTGGGCGCGAGTGCCACTTACTTTGATTTCAGTTGAACAGATGTTTTATGTTGTAACTTTGTTGAGATCATACAGAGACTCCAATTTTAATTGACCATGTGGATAAAGTTTTTAGAGAGGCAGTTCTAATAAGCTGGCTTTTGATTTTCTATTTTTATGTTATAGTAAAGGACATTGAAGACTTGTATTCTTCATATCCAATGAAATCAGGCTTTATTTATTTTATTAAAAAATAAGTTTGAGTTCTTACTGTCAGTATCTTAAAGGAATCACTATAAATCAGAAGTATATAGCTCCAAGTAAGTTTTTTTCAAATACATTTCTAACTCAAGGCTTTTATCATATTTTCCCTTTCAGCCCAATTAACTATTTATTACAGATGACCTAAAGACCATTGAATATTAAAAATGGAAGTGATAATACAAAAATTGTTCAAGTTGTCACTGAAATTCTTATTAATATATTAAAATGTAGACAACCAAAATAAAATTCTTCTTTTTTTTTACCACTATCATCAAAGTGTTAGAACAAGTTTTACATGTCTAGAGGATTTTTTATCGTTAACATATACAAATAAAGCAACTGTTTTATTTCATCCAGTTGAGGGCGTGCCTGATAGTGGAATGGAAAATGCTTTCTATTAGGGATTGAAGGCCTTGGATTACTGAGTCAGAAAGAGAGAACTTTCTTTCCTAATGTATTATAATTTTCAAATTATATTAACATACTTACTAGCATTATGAAATACCTTTTATATTATAGGGCATTCTGCCAGCATAATATTTTGGACTAATTGGGAAAATACAGAAGCAAAGAGCCTCTGAGCTATTTTAAATTGCAGTATAATGTTTTAGAGGGACAAAAAAGGAGTAATACAAGCAAAATATTACCTATACATGAATAACTTGTTTAAAAGTATTTGTAATATTTGTCTTTAGCACTACATTTCATTCTAATTAACCAGTAATAATATAAAGGCTGAAGTTGCAGGATTTCATAGAAGTTTTCATTTGCAAACATTTTCTGATAATAGTGAACTATTAACAATTTTCATAATTATTTTTAGTGATACATTTTTAGATGGAGATATGCCTAAGGTCACTAGCTAGGAATAAAATCTGTGAACACTTGCAAGATATTTGTGATGTGATGTGCTTGTTACCATTTTTTCTGGGACAGAATGTGAGGAAATCTTATAGGTACTCTTTGTAACTATTTTGTATTGAATAGACAGTTTTAGAAAAGAGAGTAGTGGTGTCTCATTCCATGGATGATTTGGAGTAGCAAAGCAGCAATTGTTCTTTGGTCTTTCAGCCATGACCTGACCTTCTGTCTGTAAGACCAAAGAGCTATTTTGCTTGGCCACCATCTGCACTCAAGAGAGAAATTTACATTTAACTTTTAAAAGCTGGACATGTTGAGCATTTATCTGAAATACCTAGAATAATATAAAGTATATTTAATTTTAAATTATATATCACATAATTCAGCATAACAAGAAGACCATCTCTTAACTTGCAAACAAGTGTCTTTATAATTTAGTCATTTTATTCATATAGTTAATGTGACCACTTGATAGGTTTTTAAAGTAGGTAGGAAACTGTGAGATTGGAATGTAGTGAGAACAAGAGCTTTTTTAATGTCTACAAAATAGGACAAATGGTTGACCACCAAAATAATTTTCCTTGTGACCTGAGTCTTGACTCTGGCATAATTAGAAGGAAAGGTTAGGAGAGTAACAATGACAGTTTCTTCCACCCGCTTTCTTCTTTTCTGTTTTTATATTGTGTCACAACCCATGGGCAGATTATCCTTCTTATCTCCTTTGTATTTTTGAGCTTAGAGAATGGTCAGACTCAAAAGATGTTTCTTACACCAAAAAAGCAAGCACACACACACACACACACACACACAACAACAACAACAACAATAAAACCTTTGGTATAGAGGAAAATGAAAAATCTGTGACTTGGTTTTTAGATTTTTATCAGAACTTTTCGTGGGCAACAGGTATATATACACACACTTTCATGGGAATTTTAAAACAAATGAGGGCAAAAGGAATATTAGAATGAATCCCTGCATTTTCATCACCTGTGTTTATCATTTACCAAACCCATTCCATCTATTTCAGATTTTTTTCTCTCAATTCCTTTGTGTTTATAGTTGCCACCTTCAACTTTTGTCACCATCATTTTCTTTTCCAACTTCCTCTTTCCCTGTCTTATTTCACCTGTTCTTTTTGCAGAAATATTTAAATTTAATCTCAGACACTGTATTTGTTATTTTGCCCACAAATACTTTAGTGTTCATTAATTAATGATTTTTTTTAATATAATCACTCTGGAATTATTTCAGCAAATAAACCAAATGCTTTAATATGTTGAGCTTGCTTTGTGGCTCAGTGGTAGAGCCCTTGCCTAGCATAGATGAGGCCCTGGGTTCAATCCTCAGCACCACATAAAAATAAATAAATAATAAAATAAAGGTTAAGTTATTTTAAAAAAAAGAAGATCCCTTAATATCAAATAATGTCCAGTTAATGTTTAAAATTTTTTGCCTCAAAAAGGTTTTTTTCAAATCAGGAAAATAAGCATGTTTTTGAATATGTAAATACTACAGTACTGTCTTCTTTAAAGGGATTTAAAGGCAGCTGTGAGTAAAATTTTAACTTTCCTTGTTGTTTATTATATTTCATATATAACATTTGACTTTGCTTTATATTTATAAAATTACTTATTATTCTTAAGGAATATGAATTAATCTACTCGCAAACTATTTGAGGAAATGGCTACCATGCAGAATTCATAATCACGTCCCAAAAGGAGCTCCTTGGAGTCTAAAATCCAAAATACATGATTTCAAAGCCTTAATAGTTAATATTTAGAAGTATTGCAGGAAGCCATGGCATTGTAGGGGTTGACTGATCTGAAATGAGAAATGTGGATGTGGAATTTTCTGTGTGTTTCCATTTCGGTAAATGAATTTCAAAGCTAATCTTTTATAGCTGCAAATCTTTCATCAGGGCCTGATGCACAATGAAAATACAAAGCTCTTTGTTTAGAAAGCAGGAAAAACTGTTGTTAAAGTGACTAAAATATAAAACTTCTTTTCTTTCTTCTTAGCTTTGCCAATCCTTTGGTTTTTTATGTGCTATTTAATTTCAAGTTTTCTCCAGTACAGGGATACACGTAATAGACTTCTTGCAGGTACCCTGTGACTAGGAGGCACGTATGCGGCCAATACATTTCTGGGTTCTGGTTTCCTGCAGCCACAGGACCTAAACATCATACTCTAGTGAGGAATTGGGGAAAGTCAGTCTCCCTATTACAGGGAGATCAGTCAGGTGATCCCCCACAGATTACAACCTCTACCCTGGAACACATGTAGTTCCTGGATCAGGCATAGGCAAGAGGTTCTGCACTGAGTCCACTAATTGTGTATGGTGCTGCCACGCTGGGACAGGAATAGTGTGCCAGTGTGTACACACTCAAGCCATCACCCTGCCCCAAGGGGAGGCTCAAATCCAGATTGCTGTGAGGGGCAATAACAGAACATAACGCCTCATCCACTGACATCACCTGGTCCCACCCTGGATGGAGGGCAGCATCAGTAGCAAGGGAAAGGCAGGAAAGAAAGAAAAAACTGGAGAGAGCACATTTGTAAGGTCTGCCCTAGGTGTGAAGTGAGACAAGGGAAAGAGACCACACATATGAGCTGAGATTCCATTGTCCCATCAGACTTTGCTGACAAAACACATCCAAGATAATATCACAAGAATTTCAAGACATTGACCACAGAGATCTAAGCTGCAATTGTAGAACCATTCTAAATAGTACCAGTGTGATGGCATTGATCATGTACCCAGGAAGCTGTCATGACTACAGAGAGAGGCAGATTTGGTAAAGTAATGTACTTAGATATACTCCCATTTACTTATTCAGACATCTATATTTATTTAACATGCCCATGCGTACTTAAAGGAGTGTGAGTTAACTACAGCCAACAGGCCAAATCTGGCTTGCTGACTCTTTTTACAAACAGGGTTTTATTAGAACAGCTACATTGTTTACATAGTGCCTAT